GGTCCCGCCTGCAGCCCCGCGGGGCGGGTGTCCCCCCGGCAGCCGCGTCCCGACAGAGCCAGACGTGCCGAGCGGGAGCTGGCGGGCGCCCGGGCGCCGAAATGCCCCTGGAGCACAAAGAAAATTCCTGGGAGCGCAAACATGACGCTGCGGGGCGCGGCCGGGGAGGGGGGGACGGCTCCGGCTCCGGGCCCAGCCACGTGGCCGGGGCCACTGCCTTTGGGGCAAGGGAGCAGCCCGGATAGGCGGCACCCCCAGGGAAGGGGGCAGAGGGGCCCGCCCAGGGTCACCCCCCCAGGTCGAGGGGCTACAAGTTCCCAGCTGGTCCCAGGGAAGGGGAAGGCAGGAGCAGCCCCCGGTTATTGCCACACCTGCACAGGGCAGAGGTCACAAGCGAGCCATGGTGGGGGTCACGGCCTGTGTACCCTGTTACCCCCGTCGCTCTGACCCTGAACCAAGCCCCTGGGACCAGCAGGACCAAGGTCAGGATCCGGCCACCACCAACGCAGGATGCACCTCGGACGCTCTCAGCCGTCCCGCGATCCCCTCCCCGCGGCTCAGCCCAGAATTCGGACCCGAACGCGAGCGAGCACAAGCCCAGCGACACGCTTCCCCACTCTCTGGACCGCCCGAATCAACCACATCGACGATCACCTGCCGCTGCGGACACGGGGACAGACTGGCCGTCTCCCACCTGGGGCCGCGAACCTGCAGAGCGGCGGGCGAGGGGCAGCGTCACCTGCGCGCGGCCCTGTTTACCCAGCGCTGGCTGCTCGCTTTGGGGCCGGCGCGCGGTAGCCTGGGGAACAATTAATCCGGTTACCGGGAGACCTGCGGCGATCCGGCAGCTTCGCTCCAGCTCCAGGGACTTCCCTCCAGCTTCTTGGCACCCGTGGGGACGGGTCCGACCTGGAGCTGCAAAGCCCCGCGGGCACTTCCTCCCTTCGTCCCGGGCTGGAAAATGAGACGCTTTTGTCCCCTAAATCGTCGCTGGTGGGGGACGGACGGACGACTCGGCCGCTGGAGGGGAGCAGCGCTCTGCCAGGCTGGGCGTGACAAAGCCCCCTGGGCTGCGGGCACGGCAGACCCCGGAAAGCCCCGTCCACAGGCGACGGTTGGGGTTGCCCGTGGCAAGATCCCCGGGGGCAGGCTGAGCTGGAGCTCAGGTTTCCGCGGCAGGGGGGAGCGCCGCGCCCAGGCGGGTCCCAGCGCGTGTGCACGTAGCGCGACCTGGGCCGACTCCACCCCGGAGGAGGAGCGGCGCCGGCGGGCGCAGGGGCCGTGCTGCCCAAGAGCACCAGGCCCTGGCTTCACCCCGCCCCGAATGCCCGGGCCCGGTTCCCGGACGCTGCCAACGAGCTGCTCGTTCAGCTTGGCTCCGGAAAGCCGCTCCCGGGGCTTGGGGCGCTTGCACGTCCCCCCACGCACTTCTCTCCGAAGAGCAGGGGACGTCAGGAGCCGACCGCGGGGCAGCGACACGGCCTCCGCCGCTGTCCCCGAGAGCGGGACGGAGCCTGTCCTGTGCACGGGAGGGACCGGGGCACCGAGAGGATCCGGGAGGAAGGCGGGAGCAGGGATATCCGAGCACTGGGAAAACACAAGTTAATCATTAACCGCCGACCTTTCGGGACGTCGGCGCTTGGGTTTCTGCCGCTTCCGCGAGACCAGGAGCACGGGGAGACGGGTCCACAGGCCGAGGCTGGGGAGATCCGCGAATGAGCCACGGCCCCTTTTAAACGAGAAGCAGGGGAAGAGACGACGCGTAGACCCCTGCTCTAGGAGGGGAACCTGGATGCCCCAGCCTCGCACCGCAAATTATCCGGGCGCCGAGGGGAATCAGAACAAAGCCGTGGATCAAAGCGAGCCGGCCTGGCGAGGACGGCTCCGAGCAAACCAGCGCTGTCAGGTCAGCGTGGTAGAAAGCAAACACGGCCCGTCAGGAGCCTCAGTCATGTGGAAAACCGCATCTCGCCACGGCCGGCTGGCCCCGTCCGCCCAGGGATGGGGCCGCGGAGGAGCTTTGCTCTCCCCGCGGCCACCAGGAGCCCGGCGGGCCCCGGCCCCGTCACGCGGC